GTGTCCAGGGCTGGGGAGAGCAGGTGAACCCGCGGATCCCGTGTGTCCCTCGCCAGGGAGACGTGAGCGCCCCAGGAGAAGCGGTGTACAGGATGGGCAGGAGTCATCAAGAGGGAGCAGAGAAGACTGGGCAGTGGTGGGGCAGAGGCTTTGAGAGGACCGGGAAGCTGTGGCTGTGAAGTGGGGCCCCGGGAAAGGCCCCGAGCGAGCAAGTGTGAGGAGGGATGGATGGCAGAGAACAAAGGACTAAGCATGAACAGGTGGCCGGAACAAGGAGGCCCAGGGGAGCAGTCCAGGATGGCGCAGGGAGGTGGAAGGCGGGGTTGTCGTGCAGGCCGAACACCTTCGGGTCACCACAGGGTTCTCCTGGCGGGCATGCCCTTCCGAACATATTCATCTAATTCCCCCTCCCCTTGCAAGCCCAAATCACAAAGGCGCCTCCTCCTTGAAGCCTTCTGGATTCCTCCCTGCTGGAATTACCAGCCCCTTCCTCTGTGGTCTCCAACCCTGTATTACAGGAACATTATCATCGGATTTTATGGCAGGGGTCCGAGGTCACCCCACACCTCCGACTGTGAATTTTATGTGGGCAGGGAGGCGTCTTTTTCCTTCTTAAGTTTCTCCAAGATATAGTTCTATTAATTATGCATCTTCTTTACAGTGGTTTTTTATTTTATTTTATTTTATTTTACTTTTTATGTTTTATTTATTTCTAGGAGAGAGAGAGAGAGAGAGAGACAGCGTGAGCAGGGGAGGGTCAGAGAGAGAGGGAGTCACAGACTCTGAAACAGGCTCCAGGCTCAGAGCTGGCAGTCAGCACAGAGCCCGACGCGGGGCTCGAACCCACGAACCGCGAGATCATGACCTAAGCGAAAGTCGGACGCTCAACCGACTAAGCCACCCAGGCGCCCCATACAGTGGTTTTTTAAATGTTTGTTTACTTTTGAGAGAGGGAGCGTGCGTGGGGGAGGGGCGTGAGGTCACGGGGCTCCGCGCTGACAGCAGAGAGCCCTCTATGCGGGGCCTCGAATTCCCAAACCGTGAGATCAAGCCCTGGGCAGAAGAGGGCCGCTCAACCGACAGAGCCACCCAGGCGCCCCAGGGTGTCTTTTATCCTTGGCCTCCTCACAAATTAAATCAAACTGCCTTCAGCAGAGGTAGCCCGGGCAGGCCTCGAGGCCTCAGGGAGCGGAAATACCCTGCGGTTGCGTGGCTCCCGCGCCGTGGCCCAGGTGCGCACGCTCTGTGCGCGCCGGGGGCCTCCGGGTGGCAGGGGTGTCGAGGCCAGGCTGCGTTTGCCGCGCCTCGGTGCGCATACGCCCGGCCCGCGCCAACCGCCTGCTCCCGCGCTGGGGCTGCACTCGCCCACGCGTGACCGTGGCCGCCTACTTGCCTTCCCGGATCCATGCCCCGGCCGCCCCTCTCCGCCCTCTGGGGCGGGGCTGGGAGGTGCCACCGCGGGAGTCGCTGGCTGAGCACTGCACAGGTGCGGGCTAGGGGGCGCTCCTTGGTGGGAAAGGACCCCCACCCACACCCCCAGCAACGCCCAGTACCTTTGTTAAGAATTACAGCAGCCCGTGAGACCACCTGCTCACCACCTAAGCGGCCTCCCTGCTTCAGTCCCCGCCCCCTATGGTCTCTTCCCCCCTCAGCAGCCAAGGAAGGCTTTTAAACTGTAAACCACATCGGGGCGCCTGGGTGGCTCAGCCGGTCAAGCGGCGGACGTCAGCTCAGGTCATGGTCTCATGGTTTGTGGGTTCAAGCCCGGAGTGGGACTCTGTGCTGACGGCTCAGAGCCTGGATTCGGATTCTGTGTCTCCCTCTCTCTCTGCCTCTCCCCCGCTCACACTCAGTTTCTCTGTGTCTCTCAAAACTGAATAAATGTTAAAAAAAAGTAAAACTGTAAACCGCATCATGTCACTCCTTCCGCGGACCAAATAAGCCTTAAAAAAAAAAAAAAAAAAGACGCAGATGCGCAAAATACTTGTACTCTGCCTTAACTCCTGACCTCACGTATTACTCTCCCTCCCACTCTCTCCCCGGGGAGCCACAAGGGTCTTCCTCCAGTTCCTCAAACACACAGGTGCCTGCTCCTGCCTCAGGGCACTTGCACTGCCGTCCCCTCTGCTGTAATGCCCTTTCCCCAACACCCCCATGGCTCCCTTTCTCACTTCCTCCCGGTCCCTGCTTACACACGATCCCCTGGGAGCTGCCTTTCCCACCTCAACACTCTTGTCTAAAGCAGCATCCCATTACCCAGCTCCCAGCTTCATCTTTCTTCATAGCACTTGTCACTCCCCTGCGTGTTATCTGCTTATTGTCTCTACTAGCAACAGAATAAATGCTCCAGAAAAAGGGGTTTTGTACATCTTGTTCTGCTCTATTCCCCAGTGCCTTGGAATAGGAATGGGATGTAGTAGAAGCTTAATAAATATTTGTTCTGTGCCAAATAGCACTTCATTCGGCCCACAAGAGAAGCCCCGTGATTTGCCCACTTCGCAGATGTGGAAACAGATTCAGAGGGGCATGGGACCGGCCACGGGAGCTTGCCAGCGTTGGAGCTGGGGCTCCAACCCAGTGAGTCTCTCCTCTCTGCCTCTCTGTTCTCCATTTCATTTCCCACCTGGAAAAGAATACGGGCGTTCTACCCTTCTGTTGCTCCAGGATGCACAAGACTCACTGGCAACCAGTGCCCCAGGCAGCATTCCCCTCAAAGGACCTGCCCGGGAGCCCGCAGGGAGACAGACTCCACCGGTTCCCCAGGAAGGCAGGCCCAGCTTTGACCCTGACCACTTTTCCCTGGGACCATCTGCCCCCCCCATTACCCCTTATATTCCCCTTTCTTTTCAGCCACCTGTGGGTCCCCAAAACACCCTCAGAATAATCTGGGGGCTGCTTTTCTTACCTTCATCCCACCGGACATGCAGCAAGAGGCAGTGACACAGCAAGAAAGTGCAGTGGGGGCGGGGGGAGCACAAACTGGAGATACACACGCGGAGACAAGAGAGAGACAGAAGAAGATGGGAAAGACGAGAAACCCAAAAAGGAGCCAAGACCTGACAAGGTCCAAAATAATGGCTCCCCTCAAACCCACATGCCGGCCCAGGGCCACTGCCAACCCCATTGGCCCTTCTGAGTGAATTAGAGAGAGGCACCCTGGCCGAGTTCCAGAGCCCTCTGGTCTGAGCCAAGCACCCCGCTGCAGAGCCCAACCCACAGGGCAGTGACCGCAGCCCACCCTTGCTGCCTGCACACAGACGGAAGGCAGCTTCCAATGACACCGGGTCTTCGGCTTTGACCCACAGATGCGTCTATGCAGTGGTCCCCGGAAGCCCCTTGGAAACTCCAGGATCTCTCCACATGGGCTGTGAGCCTGAACCCAGCCCTCTGCACTTCCCCACTGGGCCTACCCTGACAGCGGGTCCTTGGGCCATGTCACTCCTGCCTTTGTCACTCATGAGTGATTAACCAGTCCCACCCACAGAAACCGGCCCAGGACTCCGAGGGGCCGGGACCAGGCCCTCACGCCTGTGCCAGCGCACAGACCCCCTTCCTGCCCCCACAGGCCACCTCCCTGCTTCACAGACCTTCTTCTCTGTGGTTCATAGGAAACTCGCCCCCGCCTCTGCGGGGGGCGCCAAGTAGCATGCCCCTCCCTCGACAGAAAGGACAAGAGAGAAGCAGAGAGGGGAGCCATCGCCTCAGAATCTCTCATGCTAAATTGAGATTCTGCTGCCTCAGTCCTGAGCAGCCACACCCTTGTGGGGGCTGAGGAAGCGACCCTCCTTCCCCTTCCCCAGGAGCGGAGGTGACCTGCTGCACCCAACCATATGTGGGGCTGCCTGTGTACTCCACTGGCTGGCCCCACCCAGAGCGCAACGGCAGTGGGGGGGGGGGGGAGGCAGGAGCTCTGTCCTGCAGCGCTCTGGACCCTGGGATTCCCCCTCAAGCCTGGGCATGGCCTGGCACAAGGTCATGGCCTATTAGGATGGGGGAGGGAGAGGAGGTATCCTCTCCACGGGGTCCATGAGGTGTGCTACATCTGCACTGGGGGAGATCAGGGTCCAGGTGACCAGGGACCCCCGGCAGGCTGCTGTCTACAGCCCCCACTCTTCCCCATGGCCCAGACTCTGAGAGGAAATAATTAGGGCACAGGTGAGTCATAGGGTCACAAGGCAGCTTCCTGGCTGACTCAGGGGACAGTCAGATGAGCCATTCCACCAGGATCTTCCCCAGCCCAGAGCCTGAGTCAAGGATTTAACACCTCCTGGTATCCAAACTGGGCTTCTTCCGCCCTCCCACTGGATCCCTGAAAAGCCAGGTATGAGGCTGGGCCCTTCCATGGCCAGTAAGGGCATAGGATCGTGTATCCCCAACTCAAGCCTATCCTTGCTTCTGGGATTTAGAGCTCGGTCTTCTCTAGATGTTGGGACCTCCCTCTGACCAGGATCCCCAGAGGTACCTGGCAGTGAGCATAGCACAGAGGCCAGGGTCAGGGGCAGCAGGCTGAGGCCCTGCCCCCACCCCTGCAGCAGGGGCCCTCCTGCATCACCCCAGGATCTTTCACCTGTGCCTCAGCCAGCCCTCCAAGCAGGTCCCCATGGTCCCAGGGCTGCTTTCCTGGCTTTGTCCCTGTGCTGGCTGGGCAGGAAGTTCCTGCTGGAGAATTCCCGGATCCTCCCCATGAGGCCGCAAGCCTGGCCTGGGAACTTAGAAGGGAGGGAAGTCAGGGATGCTCCTAGGAACAGGGTCTGGTCTTGTGGTAGCAGGGGCTGTCCTGGCATTCTGGGCCACCAGTCCTTCCCCACCCCCCAGGGCAGGTGCGCCTAACCTCCCATCCTCCAGCTCAGATGCCCCACTGGGGCCCTTCCACTGGAACCCGGGACTCTGCAATTGTGGCTACCACACTGGGGACTAGACTGAGACCCTGGATAGCCTTGAGCTTGTGAGCTTGCTCCTGGCTTGAGGATGAGGGGCGGGATCCAAAGACAGCCAAGGAAGCCAAAGTCAAAGTGGGTTTTATTAATATCACAGGCCTGAGTCTGATGGGTAGGAGCACTCTGCTGGGCAGACCCACCCTGCAGACACATGGATTCCATTTAGCCCAAGACCCCTTGGCCCCAGGGACTCCTTGGATGTGCCCTCAGAAGAGGGAGGCTAAATCCCTACTCGGGTTGAAGGGATCTGAGAGCAGGGCAGACTCAGGGCCAGCACCAGCTTCACTCTGGAGGCCAGTTTCCCATCTCGTCCATCTCCTCCAGGAGCAGGTGCTAGGGGGCAGAAGTGGGTGAAAAAAGGTGCCTCTGCACCCCCAGAACATTCCCTGCTACCCCCAGAGATAAGCACCCTGAGGCCATGCCAGGCCCTCCCCCATATCTGCACAGCTGGGCCCCCATCCACGAGCCACCTCCCTCCCACTAAATGAGAGACCCTTCTCCCTCCAACTTGGGGGTGGTCCTTGGAAGCCCCAGGAGTCAGGCACCCCAGGGAACCCCTCCCCTCCCTCACCTCTGTCCTGGACACCACACCGAGGGGGCTCTGCACCCTTCCCTCCAGCCTAGGGTAGTGCTCCAGCTGCCTCAGTGCCCCTCCCCTAGGCCCCCAGCATTCCCCAAAGGCTGGGGGGCGGCTTCCTTCCCCCTCAGCCTGGTGTCCCTGAGGGCAGATAAGGAGAGAGTGGGGGTGGTGATGAGGGTCGGACCCTTGACACACCCACAGGAGGAAGATATTCCGGAGGCAGCTCTGTCCCCACAGTGAGGACCGAGCTGGGCCCTGATTTGCCACCACCCAGAAACTCCCTAGCCACCCCCCCAATATGGCTCAGGCTACCCCAGGACTATGGCCCCTGGCTCAGGGGTGGTTCCAGAGGGGAGAGGGAGGAGAAGGGGGCGGGGAGGGTGATGAGATCCCTTTCGTGGGAAAAGGCAAAAGCAAGGGCCCCTGCCAGAGCTGACCAGCTGTGTAGGTTCAGGTGCGGGGCACAGCCTTGCTCCCCAGAGCACACGGGGGGTCCTGTGACTCAGACATGTGGGCTTAGGACAATGAGAGGCTGCCCCTCAGTGTCGGTGGGCATGTGCTTCTGGCACTCCTTCCCCCGAGGGGGTACGTCAGATCCCTAGCACTGGAGCGCCCCTGGCGACTGGCAGGCAGCCCCTCTCCCTCTTGAGTGATCCTTCCACCAGTGTCCCCTCGCGGGTAAGGAAGCCACGGCCTGCATTCAGAGTCACAGAGCAAGTCGGTGCCAGAGCAGGGCTTCAACTAAAGCTTTGGTCTCTGAACCTGACTCTCTGTCCTTTACTTTCCCACAAAAGGAAGCTACACAGACCATCAGGGGCAAATGTCCACTGCATGAAAGAACAGGTTGATGAAGGAAGGAAGGAAGGAAGGAAGGGAGGGAGGGAGGGAGGGAGGGAGGGAGGGAGGGAGGAAGGAAGGAAGGAAGGAAGGAAGGAAGGAAGGAAAATGAACTCAAAAAGGACACACACATTCTTTTAACACAAATCCATCAATATGTACTCAAGAGAGTCTGGGACGGGCCTGACCTTGAAGGCCAGCGTCAAGGGAGGCGGGCAGTGGGTGGTCCTTGTTGTGACACAACAGGTAACCTACAGGTAGGTTTGTGGGAGTGAGCACGGGTGTGAATGGCAGAGAAAGCATAACAGCAACATTATGTGAATTACAGATGCGTGAGGAAGACTTAAAGCCACCTAGACAAAACCCCTCACGGTACAGAGGAGGAAACTGAGGCCCAGAGAGGGGAAGGGACTTGCCCAAAGCCACACAGCAAGTGAACGGCAAAGTTACAACTTAAAAATGGACTTTTAGGGATGCATGGGTGGCTCAGTCAGTTAAGCGTCCAACTTTGGCTCAGGTCATAACCTCATGGTTTGTGTGTTCAAGCCCCATGTCTGGCTCTGTGCTGACAACTTGGAGCCTGGAGCCTGCTTTGGATTCTGTGTCTCCCTCTCTCTCTGTCCCTCCCTCTCTGGCACTCTGTCTCTCTCTGTCTCTCAAAAATAAATAAATATTAAAAAAAAATTTTTTTTTAATGTTAATGGATTTTTGGACTCTGGGTCAAGTGAGAGACAGAGAGACTGATGGAGAACTGTGTATATGCACGGGGCTTCAGGTCCTCCTTGGAAATACCACCACCAAGAAGGGACTTTGCCTTCCCTACCCAGACAGTGGGAGGCTAGAGCCAGGGCCAGGGGCTGACAGAGGTGGGAGGCCCCACTCTCTTGAGTGCCTTTACGCAGAGCGGGAGGTGGGGGTGGGGTGGGGTGGTGGTGAACAGACCAGGTGTACCTGGCCGTCCACAATGCCCGCCTCCTCCAGGGTGATCTCTGGCTGGGTCAGCAGCTCCCGGCCCTCATGGCTGCCCATCTTCCAGAGGCGGGACTCCCGTTGTACTACCAAAAGCTTCTTTAACTCCGACTCCACAAAACCTGAGAGTCAGAGAGATGGGCGTGGGACAGGCAGAAGGGTGGAGCAACCTGCTGGGGTGGGAAGGGAGAAGGGGTGGCTCTGGCTCTCCAGGCCGCATCCCTGCCCTGTGCAGTCCCTGGTCACCCCCAGCCCCAGCCCCAGCCCCAGCCCCTATGTTTCCCATTACCTGGAGCCGGCCAGACCCCTTGACTTCGCCAGGAAACTCACTTGCCAAGCACTCCCTCCCACCTGTGTGAGTGTGAGTTTCTTCCCCTCCTAGGGAGAGCGAGCGAGGGGCAGACATCTGACCCCACCCTCCACCAGCCACAGACTCATGAGAAAGGATCTGGAACTACCCAAACTGCATATGTTCAAGCTCTGCCACTTACCACTGTGTGACCTTGGGCAAGTTACTTGATCTCTCTGTGCCTCAGTTTCCTCACTACGAAGTAGAGATTATAATAGGACCTCCCTCTGAGTTGCGAAGTGGTATTTCATGAAATGTGCTCAGAAGAGGGTGTGGCCCATAGTAATGGCTGTGTGAATGTCGACAACGATCGTGTCGTGTGACCATGTTATACTGCCACCGTTGACCCATCTGCTCACCATGTCTGGGTAGCGCTGGGACACCCTCACAGCAGCGTGCGATGGGAAAACCAGGGATGGAGGTGCCCACTGAACAAGTTAGAATTCTGGGTTGGAGTGGGTGGTGCTCCTGGAACGCAAGCTGTAGTCCCAGTCCCCACCTTACTGCCTCCCAAACCTTGAAAAAGGAGGACTCTAGCTAGACCTAGCCTGTGGCTCCAGCTGAGCCACCTCACGGGTCCCCCCCCAACCCCATCTCCAGTGGTCATCTCAGGTCCTCTGGTACCACCTGGTGGCGAGAAGTGGTATCACACTTATGAGCCGGGACCAAAGCCCCCGTGGCCTGAGGGCAGGTCGGGTGTTCCACTTACCCACTGTATCTGTTGACCTAAAAGTCTTATGCAGCGGTGACTGCAGGGTGACAATGCCTGGGACACAGACCTTGAGTGAGCTGTCCTCCTCCATTTCCTCTTCCTTGCCTTTCTCCTCATCAGGCAAGCCTTCCTTGAGAGGAAACTGAGGGCATGCCGGGCCACTGAGCAGGTGCGGAGGACAGGGACCCAAGCCTGGAGGCCCACCCCCAGATAAAACCAAAAGCAGGAGGGAACCCGAAAGGCTGAGAGGGGTCTGCCCAAGCCACAAACCCTGGGACCCAGGCAAATGCAGGGAGGAGCCCCACCCAGGCTGCGCCCCCCCCCCCCCCCCCCCCCCCCCACTGCCCCAGCCTGGTTCTACAGACCTTGGGCGTGGTTGATTTCTGAAGCTGCTTGTACAAGGTGAGAAGGCGGTTCCAAGGAGTTGCCCCCACCTTCGAAGAGGCCAGCCTGAGGTCTCCTGTGGAGGGGCAGGGTCACTGACGGGCTGACAGGAACAAGGGGTAGCCCAGGCCCAGGCAGGTAAGGACATCAAGCAGGTCGAAGTGAGGCTGAGGTCCCCTCATTTCCTTCAGCAAACACCTACTACGTGCCCCACACAAGGCACTTTGCAAAGGACATTCCATTGACTCTTTGCAACTGGCCTCTGAGAGAGATACTTATCATTTTATAGATGAGGAATCTGAGACACAGAAAAGCTGAGCAGCTGGCCACTGTCACGCCCCTGGGGCATCTGAGGAACAGGCTCTATTTCTGGCACTGCCCCGACCCCTGCAGCCACCACACTCACCGTCAAGCAGACACTCCTCCTCCTCCCCGGCGAAGGTCTCAGGGCTGACTTCCAGTGGCCCCATGGCCCTCTGCAGGCATTCTTGCTCCGCCTCCAAAGCTTGGGCAAAGTGGCCCCTGATCCCAGAGCATAGTCAGATGGGGGTAGCAGGTGAGCCCAGACATGTGGCAAAGGCTCCCTAAACACCCCCGAGTCCCCAAGGGCCCTCCTATAGGCTCTGCTCAGCCCCCTATCTTCCCTTGAAAGTAGAGTGAGGAGGAAGGTGGGGAGCAGAGGCAGAGGGAGGCCTCCTTCCACACAGAGAGTGGGAACGAGGAGGGAGAGAGTGGGGAGGGAAGGCAGGGTGGAGCGGGGATCAGGAAGGAGCTGGGAAGCAATGGCGGCCTGACTCACCCTGGCACTCTCTTGTCCCAGTCCCCAGCCTGTCCTTCTTTGGCACCTCCACCCACAACCCCTGACTTGTGGGAAGACCCACCCCATCTCTGCCCCCCCAATATCCCCCCCACGCTCCTTCCCATCCTTGATACATCTGTTCCCCCCTCAACCCCCATGCCTCTACCCATCCAAAGACCCACATTCCTGGGCCTCCCTCATTTTGGGTCCTCCCATATCCTTGCCCCAGTACCCCCATCCCAGGCTCCCGCCTGCCATCCACAGCCCAGTCCCTCACCTGTCTGAGGTCCCTGTATCCCCAGAGGCCTCCCCTGCTGACTCCTCCTCTTCTTCCCTTTCCTCTTTCTCAGGCAGGCTGCCCAGCACCTCCTGGCTTCCCCTGGGCAGGACGGGCTTCACCTCTACACCCTGGGCCCCCACTCTCAGGACTTCTACAGGGGTGGAGGTCTGGGCCCCCGTGTCCCCCATCCCTAGCCCCAAAGGATCCTGCCGTGGCAAGGCCACAGAGAGCGTGTAGGACGGTGTTGTGGATGGCCTTGGCTCCTTCCTCCCCACCCCTCCCTGGCGGCTCATCATCAGTGGGGTGGCATCTTGCTCTCGAGAGGAGCATGCCCGACTCCCTATCAGGGCCTTATCAGAGCTCTTTGGGCTGCCCTTGCTCCCCACCAGGCTACGGAAAAAGCGGAACATGGAGGAGCGGCCCAAAATTCGGGATTGAGGGGTTGGAGCTGGGGGCTCCATCTTGAGAAAGAGCCTGACTCGGAGGGAGGGGCCGTCACAGCCACCCTACTAACGGCTTAAGAACAGGAGGGGTTTTCAAATTAAAACTTCCAGTTGGAAACTTCCAGGAGTTCTAGAAGGCAAAGGTCAGGTGGGGGGGGGGGTGATGGGGAGGCTAGGAGGAAGACATGGTGGAGGTGATTTGTTGGGGGCAGAGAGGGAGGGGTGGGGTCGATGAGGCAGGGGAAGAAGGTATGGGAAGGCCGACTGGAGGTGTCTGGTGAGGCTGAGTAGGCATGGGGGTGGGGAGCAGGCAGAGGAAGCTGGGGGTACTTGGACTGAGAATGGGGCAGGGGCTTTCGGGGCCCCTGCACACACCTCTCTCCCTGTGACTTGTCCTTCCCTGGTTGCGTGTTATGTGTCCTTGAGAACCATTCCTCACAGCTAGAGAGTGTCTGTCCTCCCTCTCCCTCTTTTCTTGCCTCTCAGCATCCACTTACACGTGCCCAGGGACACCCAGACACCCCTGTTTTTGTCTCTTTTTACTTGCTTATCACCTTTAGGGTTTCAGATCTCCAGAGACTACCAAGGGTGCCTCGTGCTCCCATCTTAATTGCACGTTGAATCTCTATTTAGTATTATTATTCTCCACCGCACCTATAGACTTGATTACAAACCCAGCTTAGTGACCTTGGCAGTTCCTTAAACCCACTCAGCCTCAATCTGATCGTCAGTAAAATGGTACAACAGACAGCACCTACTTCCAAGAGTTATTGAAAAGATTCAGTGGAAGTGCACCTGAGTGGCTCAATCGGTTAAGCATCCAATTCTTGATTTCGGTTCAGGGTATGACCTCACAGTACTGAGATCCAGCTGCACATTGGGCTCTGCCCTGAGTGTGGAGCCTGTTTAAGATTCTCTCTTCCCTTCTCCCTCGGCCCTTCCCCTGCTTGCGTGTGTGTGTGTGTGTGTGTGTGTGTGTGTGTGTGTGTGCGCGCCTCCACCCCAAATAAATTAATAAAGCTAGTAGAAGGCACACTGTGGTGCCTAAGGAACTCTGCCATCCTAGCTTTTTTATTGGTGTTGATTGAAGAAAGGGGGTAAAGATCAAAGACCAGGACTGGGAATCAGAAGTGGGAGAAGGGGAGCCATGCCACCTGACGGGGGCGGGGGGGGGGGGGGAGGCAGGGAGCCAAGTGTAAAGGGTGGAGCGCCTTCTCCGAGGCTGAGCCCAGACCTATCCCCAGGCTATAGGCCCTTCATCTGCATCCGGCGGCCACACAGCAACTTCCTCTAGAGGGAGCTAACTGGAGCCGGGAAGTGCCGGCATGTCTAGGATCCGGGCAGCCTCGCGGGTCCCTAGGGCCAAGCCGGGGCAAGCAGAGGCTGCTGCGTCCAGACATAAGTCCAGACTGCACTGACGCCTGTTCCAGGAAGTCAAGCCTGGGCACCCGACCCCCAGGAGCAGCCGCTGGCCCCTCATCAGGATCTCTGGCCTTGGCCCTGTGAGCCATCCCGGGCCTGGGCAAGCGTCCGGACAGGGACAGGTAAGGTGGGAGGGTCCTGCCTATCCTCCCAGTTTTCGGCAGCCCCAGGCCCAGGGGGATACAGGGAACCTGCAGGCAGCCGGGTGGGGACGGGGAGGCCTGGAGACTTGCCTGGGCAGCTCCGCCAACCCCTGCTGGGGCCCTGATCCAGCTGGGGCTCCCTCTGGCTTCCCCTCAGACAGCTTCCCCCATTGCCCTTCCTACCAAAGAAATCGGGTGCTAAAGAACCAGGTCCTTTAGTAATCTGTGGCGGGGTGGGGAGTGGAGATCGGAGCCAAGGTCAAGGTCAGGGAGAGAACTTTCCTGGTGCTTCCTGCTGCCCTAGGAGCCCCTAGACTGGGTCTGCAGCCCAAACAGGCATCTCCCCCTGGAGAACATTCTAAGCCCGGCAAATAGAGACAGTGGACTCCCCTTACCAGGAAGTCAGGCCACTCAGATGAGGGCAAGGGTAGGCCCAGGTCAGCATAGGCCTCTGGCCCTGGTGGCCTTTCTGATGCTCCACCTACAGCAGTGAGCCCCTGGGGTAGCAGTAGAGAGAGTTGGTGCTGCAGTCAGCATCCTCCTGCCCTGCTGTCCCGAGGGCTCCCGGTTTCGTTCAGGGACAAGGGGAGAGGGAAAGGAATCTTCCGGAAGGAGTAAGGATGGCAAAGGTCTGTTTCAAGCTGGCTCCCAGGGACGGAGGCGGGGAGGGGAGGCAAGGAGGATGGGCCTTCCCCCATCCCTGTCCCCAGTAAGTGGAGGGGTGGAGAGCCTTCCCCCACACCTTCTGGAGAGCTCTTGCCTTGGGGCACTTTTGAAAATGGCCCCAGGCCTGAAAGGCAGGAGGGTGGGGCGGGGTGGGGGGGTAGTCAGGTCTACCCTGGGAGGAGGAGGTGGCTGAGCTCGGGGGCCCAGGGTAGGACTGGGCCTTCCCCTGAGGTAGGAGGAAGGGTACTTCCCCAAAAAAGTGATGGAGGCAGCTTTGGGGTGGCTATGAAGGGGTGCAAATTGAAAGTGAAACAGCTCACATCCAGGAAATCCTCCCTGTGTTGAGGGTTCACAGAGTAGATCAGGGCTGTGGCCAGGACTGAGCAAGGAGGAGAGCTGGGGCCAGGGATAGGACAGCAGGTATGTGGTGGGGGTACGTATGGGAGGTGGGGGGCGGGGTGGGGGAGCTCTGGAGGAGGCTTCCTCAGCGCACTGCAAGGCAGGACTGGGAGGAGCCCAGGTGGGATGTAAACAGGTAATCTCGCCTTGAAAGGGTACCCTCTGAGGTGCGCAAACTGGAAAATAAATCTTAAGTGACTACTGAGTGTATGAACTCACAAAAATTCAGATTACAAGCCTGACTCCCTGAGTGGCTATGTGGCCTCGGGCTCTAACTTCTTGGTGCCTCACTTTTCCTACCTGTAAAAGGGGCGTGCATGATGATGGTTACCTTGCTGGGTTAATGTGCATTTTTTTTTTAATGTTTTATTTATTTCTAGGAGAGAGAGAGAGACAGCGTGAGCAGGGGAGGGTCAGAGAGAGAGGGAGTCACAGATTGAAACAGGCTCCAGGCTCTGAGCCGGCAGTCAGCACAGAGCCCAACGCGGGGCTTGAACCCACGAACTGTGAGATCATGACCTAAGCGAAAGTCGGACACCCCACTGACTAAGCCACCCAGGCGCCCCTAATGTGCATTTTTGACACCCCTGGGAGAGTGGTAGTGAGTATACCAGAAGTGCTCAGTAAGTGTTCGTGGCTAACACGCCTGAGTTGGAAAACAGTCAAGGGGAAGTGGGACCTTCAAGGCTTCATAGGTCATTGGCTAGGTGGTGGCAATCCTGCGGTAAGTGTGTGCTAGGGAGGCTGCAGGAGGTCCCAGGAACAGCAGAAAGAACCCCGGCCTCTAAAACTAGCCTCACTTGCCCAGGAGCAAGGTGAAAGATGACGTGAGACCCTTGAAGGCGCCACTACAACCACCCCTCCCCAGGCTCCTAGCCTCGGGGTCCAGGTCCCTAGGTACAAATCCTGAGGGCCTTGCCTTTCTCGCTCTCTCTCGCTAGTGAAATGGTAGGTTCTGATTCTGCCAACCGACTCCACGGGGACCCAAGGTGGTGCAATGAGACTCAGCTGGAGCTAGGATGGTGGGGTCATTTTGGGAGTGGGGGACGCCCTCCTCCCTGTGTGGCCAGGGGACCGCCTCCTCAAACAGTCCCAGCCCGTCCCCATCTCTGCTGTCTCTCACCCGTCCCCACAGGCTAACACTGTCCTCCACTGGGACCTGAGAAATGGCATCCGGGCAAGGCCCAGGCCCTCCCAGGCAGGGGTGTGGAGAGACTGCCCCATCTGCTACTTCCGGTAAGGGTCTCTCTGCCCCCCTCGCCCATCCCACAGCCACCAGGGCTGTCTGAGAAGTTGGAGAGAGCAGGAGTGGACAGGGCCAGGCAGGGCTTACAGGCAGGCTCTCCTGCCCCCATTCACTCACCTCCGGTGAAGGAGAAAAGCATCTCCCCACCCAGGGCAGGTGTGTGCAGGTGGTCCCAGAAGCTGGAGTGTCATCCAGGTTAAGCCCTGGGAGCGGGGACGAGTCTGGGCCTGGGGATGGGGGCCAGAGGCTAGGAGAGGCCCTGGAGTGAGTGTGAGGTGGGCACAGCGCCATCTCAGGGAAGAGGGGCAGGATGGGCTGAGGAAAAGAAAGGAGAGTGGGGCGTGGCTATTCTATTCCTATAGCAGGAGAAAGAAGGAAGTTCCTAGGCTTATCACCGGTCAGGCCTGCTGACTGCTGAAGCAATTGTTATGACTTTGGGGAGGAAGTAAGATGGCTGCCCTTCTTCCCTTTTCCAAGGGGACCATCAAAGGGTTGCGGTTCCCAGCCCACTACACACTGCTCCCTGGGCTTTGGGTTAAGTCTCCTGTATGTCACTGTGTCCCTGTGTGACTCTTCTGGGCCCAAAGCTACAGTTCCAAATTTAGGTCCCACGTTCCCTGAGCCAGAAGGGCTCCCCAGCCTGCACTAAAACTCAGGGGCCCACAAGCCTGGGACGAAGTCCTGGCTCCACTCCCCATGCTAACTGCATGACCTTGTACAAGTTATGTAAACACCCCCTGCCTCGGCTTCCCCGTCTGTAAACCGGGGTTCTATCTCCTTCACAAGGCTCGTGTGAGGCTTAAGTGAAAAGTGCTAGAAGAAATACCCTGTATACAATAAGCACTAGTTGTTAACTAAGGGCTGGAGTAGGGACGCTTCTGTCCACGGGTGAGGACGGCCGAGGCTTTGAGGAAGAGGGGCCCATCCCCAACGCATGGGGCCGCCCCATCCAGCCCTTTGTCCCTGACTCCTGCCTTTGATCCTCAGAGGAGCAGGTAGTCCGGGACACCGAGGAGGTCTTCCGCAGCTATGTGTTTTACCGTCATCGGCAGGAACAGGAGGCTGAGGGGGCAGCTGCACCTATTGACCCGGAAATGGTCACCTTGCCCCTAGAACCCAGCAGGTGAGCAACAGCCCTGTGGGCCCACAGGGACATCTTCAGGGAGCTGGAGGCTCGCAGGGTGTCACTGTGCAGATCCTGGGAACTGGGGAGGCCTTTTTCATTTGGGCTCCCCCCCTCCCCCCCGATCTGGGACCTTGGACCCTTTACAACATACGCCTGTCCCATGCCTCTGGGCTCTGCCCTCATGTCAGGAACTTCCATGAAGGGTCCACAAGACCAGGGGCATCTTGGGCAGAAGCCTGTCCTTCTCCCCAAGTCCAGGCCCCTGCCTGCCCTCTGCTCACCTACCTGCCTCCTGTTCCCCCAGCACCATGGGGCAGGTGGGCCGGCAGCTTGCCATCATTGGCGACAACATCAACCAGCGCTACGATTCGGAGTTCCAGGCCATGCTGCAGTCCCTGCAACCCACAGCAGAGAACGCCTATGAGCTTTTCACCAAGATTGCCTCCAGGTAGCCCCGGCCCGGCCTCTGTGCTGGGCTCACAGCCCCGCACTGTGCCCTGCCCGTGGGATGGGAGGTACACGCTTCTGTGTCGGTGTCAAGAGACATGCGTGCCATCCCCGTGTCTGCTGTTGACTCACACACGGCCTTGGGCCCTGTCTTTCTCTCTCTGGGCCCCAGACTCCTCATAGCTTTGGTACATAAGCTCACAGCTCTTGTGAGCTCGGGCACTGGGGACATGACCAGATAGGGATGCCCAAGTAGGGATATCCCCAGAGCTCCCCCAGCCCAGCTGAGACACAGCCAGCCTTCCGATTTGGAACCATATTTCATACCACAGCCAGTCAGATGGCAAATGTCCTAGAAATGGCTTCCCTTTGCTACAGTGTGGTGTCCAAAAGGCAGTCTGGTGTGGTTAGGAGCCCAGGCGGCTGGGTCAAATCTCAGCTTTGCCGCTTACTGACGTTGTGAGACTATGGCCCTCAGTCCCCACATCTGTAAAATAGAGGAAAGACAGACCAGCGTCCCTACTTAAAGGTGTCCCCTGCTGTTACACCTGGGTTACGAGTCAGCGTCGAGGTGGTGGCCGGAGCTGGGGTGAAGGTCGGAGTAAGCGATAGCCTGAGGATTAGCGCTCAGAGCCAAAACATCCTGTCCCTGTCCTTCGAGGCCTCCCCCGCTCCGCTCTGATTCCAGGTCCTGTCCTAACCTCCTCTTTGTCCTTCTCTCTCTGCTGCCTCTCGGGCTGCCAGGCCAGCAGCAACACCCACAGGTAATCTCCGTGCTGCTTCCGTCTGCTCGCTCTGCCTTCCCTGCTCTCTGCCCCTCCGCACTTGGCGGCGCTGGGGCCACAACCTGGCGGCAGCCGCCCGCCCAGACGCCCTCTGAGTTTCCTCCTTTCACAGAGATGCAGGCTCTTCCCAAACTGAGGCCAGGCTGGGGCAACCTCTGCCACCTTGAGTCACAGCTAAGCCATTTTGCTTTCCAGCTGGGAGCGGGGTGGGTTGCCACCAGATGGTGGGAGAGGAGCAGCAGGCTGCAGGGCCCTCCGGGGGTCTCCACTGACAGTACCAACGCTCTACCTGCAGTCTGTTTGAGAGCGGCATCAACTGGGGCCGAGTGGTGGCTCTCCTGGGCTTCGGCTACCGCCTGGCCCTACACATCTACCAGCGCGGCCTGACCGGCTTCCTGGGCCGGGTCACCACCTTGGTGGTCAACGTCATGACGCGTCACTGCATTGCCCGGTGGATTGCACAGAGGGGCGGCTGGGTAAGTGCCCAAACATCGGCAGCCTCCTCCCTGCTCCTGGGACTGCCTCTCCCCCGGCCCTACCCCAGCCCCGGAGCGCCTGTATGTGCTGTCAGCCCCTCTGTCTCTGTCTCTTGGCAGGTGGCAGCCCTGAACTTGGGAAACGGCCCCGTCGTGAACGTGCTGATAGTTCTGTCAGTGGTTCTCTTGGGCCAGTTTGTGGTACGAAGATTCTTCAAATCATGACTCCCCCTGAGGGCCCTTTGGGGTCCTAGCTAAGACCCCTGCCTGGGCTTCAGCCAAGCTTTCTCCCCTCACCCCCTCCCCTCTAGGGGTCCCCCTCAAGAATATAGAAGCTTTAGGAAGTGGGCACTCCAGCTTTGGGAGGGCCCCTGCCTGGTCAGTCAGGCTGCCAGAGATGCCCCAACATTGCATGGTGCTAATGGGCCCCCTCTCTAGTCCCCATCCTGTCAGAGAGGAGCTATAGCCTTTTCCTCAGCTTTCTGGGACACCCTCAGCCCTACCTCTTAGGCACTGGGGAGATTCACAACTTGGGGAAGCAAGAGGCTGAGAGTCACCTCTCCCCTCAAAATTTTTAATGGTTTTATCTTTATAGAACACCCTTGGAAGGACCATCCCCCATTCCCACCGCTCTGCCCAAGCCAGGAACTCTGGGGTGTGGGGGCTAGTAGGCCACCCTGTGTTCCCTAGGATTCAGCTGTTCTAGAAGGTCAGAGCTTGTTTGCTGGGCCTGGAGCCCAACCCTGGCCCTTCCTAAGCTTTCCCCCTGCCCCTACTCCCGCCACCCCATATCTCCTTTGCAGTAGACTCTCAGGGATTCTAGGCCTAGGTGTGGGGTGGAGATGGAGCTGTGGGTGCAGACCAGAGCTGTCAGAATTTCATCAGCACCCCCGAAGCCCACCTCTCAAGATCCTCAGTTCTCTCCCTTCCCCTCATCTATTACCACTCAAACCCAACCTATTCACTACAAGTGAAGCCCACCCCACCCCCATCACTCCAGATAAGGAAGGAGGGGTCTTGGGCCAGTGGAGAGCTGAAGTTCCCTCCTTGCCCAGACTATAGAATTTAGGACTGGTTTGTTATTGTCAGGGAAAGGGGGTAAGGAACTCAACTTGAGGTTTCTGAGAAAAGACATGTTAACGTCACTAGGAACCCCAGGGTTGGGATCTTCCCTCACGGCCTGGGCACAGTGTAATCCGGGGGTGTGGGTGGGGAAACTGAATACTTGAACTCAACCCCTGATCCCCCAGTCTCCTCACTCCTCACCTGCCTAAGCCCCCACTGTGGGTGGGGGTGGGGAGTGCCTGGTCTTTCTTGCACAGTCTAGGGGTTTGGGGGGTAGATTAAACCAAATGCAGGGAGGGGGTGCAGATGGAGACTGGCCAGCCCCCACCTTCTGAGTGTGTCTGAAATAAACTGCAATCTCTGATTCCCATTTGGTAATTTTTGTCTCATCCTCTGCTACGCCTCTCTCCACTGGTCTGGATTGGGGGAACCTGGGTGTGACTGGCTTTTACCTGGTTTATTACTGGATAAAAGCTCATACTGGGCCTCCAGAATCCTGTAGAGGGCTGGGTGTGGTTCTCCCAGGCCCCAGCTCCCTACAAGGCCTCAGCTTCCTCCCCACCTCTCCTAGCCCCTTCTTCCAGGGATGTGTGTGTCAGGTAAATTTCCCACCCTTTAGGAAGTTGGGAGACTCCAAATCGCTGGGCTCTGGCTGGTAGAGCAGCTGCATATGTCTGGGGACTCTTAAAGGCCATGTAAGGCCTGCTTTGAATGCCTCTCCCTGGGACCACCATCCATGCTGGCCCCAAAAGCCCTTCTCCCCCACACCTGGCTCTGCCTGGGACACAGTGTCCCAGTCCTCTCTTCCCCGTATCCCCCACAACTAGCGCACACAGGGCTTTTGATTCCAGGAATTTTGTGCCACATAGGAGTCCCTCTGGGAAAAAGCAGCTAGGAGTGATAAAAATAATAACCGCGGGGGCGTTCAGATGTTCCAAAGTCTTTCCAGTACTGGGCACCCTGGTCTGTGTTTCTGACACCTTTCCAAAACGGTCACATGCAGGTCCTAAAGGACTCAGGGGCTTCACTTGCACTCCCTGAGGGGGTCTTGCCAACCCCCTCTCCCTTTGAACTCTTCAAAGAGTCCAAGTACAGACTCGCCCCCCTGCAGCAATGGTGGCTGGAAGGGTGGTGGCTCCAAGGCACCCTGCAACCCGCAGGAAAAGTTCACAGACAACCTACACAGAACACACACTCTCCGTGCCAGGACTTACGCTGAGAAATTTATCATCCACGCCCAATTATTAGGTATTATAGCTGGTGGCCTGGGGGACTGGAAGGTGGGCTGGGGCTTTAAACTCCCACTTTACAGATAAAGGAAACTGAGGTACCTGCCCAGAATCACCAGGTAGAATGGGCGGTAGCTGGCACTTGCCACCAGGGCACTGGCTCAAGATTTTCTGTAGAAGCCGGCCAGGTGGAAACCGGGGCCGTTGGTCTCCAGCACAAGCCCGCCAGGGGGTCAGGCGGGGATGGGGTACATCCCTCCTCTCAAACCCCCTCGCGCAGCCGCAGCGCCACGGTCGCACGGCTCAGAAGACCGTGAAGGTGGGCGGGCTGCCCGAATCCAAGATGGCCGTCGCCGCACGGAGCACGCCAGCGTGCCCTCTGGTGGGCGGGGCCCCCAGGCGCACCGCCCCACGGGGGTTTGAGAACCGCTCGAGAACCTTCATTGGAAGAAGGCGGGCGGGCAGTGGCTAGATGTGTGGCGAGCTCTGCCGCTGTAAGAAGAGGTTGGGACTCTCTCCTTGAAAGAAAGGCATGAGAAGCCCCAAAACGTTTGGCTGGAGTCTACCCCGGTCGCCTCCACTCCACCCTTTATTCCGCCAGGATGAAGTTTCCAAAACCGAAATCTAAGTGCATTCCGGGGTTGCTGAAAGGAAGGCGTGAGAAGCTGGGAGGCATAGGATAAGGCGGGGGGTTATGGGGGTGCAGGGGAGCTGATTGGATTCTGCGGGTATTAAGGAAGTTAAATTCTCAAAATTATAGTTCTTCTGAAATTGTAGCTTCGTTTCCATCTAAGAGGTCTAGAGTCCTCAGTCTATGAGGCCACTGACTTGGAACAGTCCAGCCCAGCCCCGGGAGAGAAGTGTGTTCCGGTGTCATCCGCTCAGTTGCGCGGTGTGGGTGTAAAGCCCATCTCGCCTGGTACCCAGCACCTCCCTGCCTCCCCGCCCCACCCCACAGTTTACTTTCATGTGTCTGCCATTTTACCTCGTTTGAAAAAAAGTTTATTTTAGGTCACTAGGTGTCCATCCAAACAAGAAAATCCTTCCTTGGCCCTAACCGCTCAGTGAAGTGAATAGGTTTTTATGACCTGACCATCTAAATAGCTGAATAGCGTTGAAATAAATTAAAATTAATTCATTAGTTAATTAAAATAAAACCACCACCATATCCTGATCCAGTTGTACCCACCTCAGATGTAAAGGCCTCGATCAAACACACTTGTAAAGTATGGATTTAATTCGATCTCTAATCCCAGGGGCAGGTGCGCGCGTGCATGCACGGGAGAGACAGAGGGAGAGAAGGAATGGAGTTACCAAAGATTTCTGGAAGTACCCAAAGAGCAGGAACCAGAAAACCAGCAGCAAACCCAGCTTCTGACGCAGTTTCACCAATTGCTAGACATTTAAAAAAAAAAAAAAAGGTGAACACCAGACTACTGGCATATCAAAGATGTGGGGGAGGGGAAATTCAGCCCACCAGATAATAAGGGAACAAAAAGCAGTGATCTGGCCTATTGAGCATATGACAGGTAAGGGATCCCCAGCAAATTTGTATGAATGATCTAGTAGAGGGGCAGTCTCACAAGACCAAGGTCGGGTGATGAAATAATATGAGCAGAAACCGTACTTTTCTGGGAGAAGTCGCTTAATAGCTGAAGGGGCTAAAGCCGCAGAATCTCCCTCCATCTGGAGTATGAGATTTGGCGACCAAACATATGTGAGGATGTGAAGGTGTGTGCATGTGACACCCGGAGAGTAACATTTGAACGGGCATCCATTGTTGAAATCAATATGCAAATCAGAACACCTCTCCGCTCCACTATCTCAACTCTTGCTTTACAATCTTGGAATCATTCCTGGTGCCTGGTGCTTCCACTTTTCCCAGCTTTGGCTAAGAACACAGCAGGAAGACAGATCTTCAAAGTTGTCTGTTCCATCACATCACAGAGTGAAAACTACTCCAACATTCAGGCTTCTGTGATGATTGGCCACATGCAGGCTGCCCTCACCAACCTTCTCATGTTTGGATCTGACCCCTTTCTCACCTGACCTCTGACCTTACTGAGAACAACTTCTCCAATTCATATCTGGCAGGCACTGAGGCTTCCTCTAGAATGGGAACATTTTCTTGCTAAAATTCTCAGGTGGACCCACACCAGGGAAAGATGGGGTGAATTTGGCATGTCCAGCATCTCTGAGTTGGAGATGTTGTGAATCAGAGTGCAAGGGAAACTCTGTGTTGGGCTTAGAGATATGGGTTCTCGTGTTTAGTGAAAAAGAATGAGGTTTCCGGGAGGCTGAGCCGCTGGGCTGTGTGAGAGAAGAGTTGCGTGTAGGTTCAGAGCAAAGTGCTATCCTGGTAAGGCTGTGGGGCAATGCGTACCCCACCCAGGTATGTAATATAGTGTAATATGTAGTGTAATGGAACAGGTCTTCACATGGCCTTAGAATCCTTAACACATCCTTTAAACAAAGATATAAAGACCATATCCACATTGTTTCCATTTTTTTAAAGATATCTCTGTGGCCAACGTGGGGCTCAAACCCGCAACCCCAAGATCAAGAGTCACCAGCTCCACCAACCGAGCCAGTGAGGCACCCCTATTTCTATTTTTTAAAAGCATTAAATCATCTCAAAACCCCACTGTGAACAGTGGAGGGATCAGAGTGAGGAGAGGGATTCCTTTCCGGAGAAAGTCGTTTTCCTTCCATCTCACAAAATGCCTCCTAGATATGCCCCCTACCTATTACACTCAGAAGAAGGAGAGACCCTGGAATTTCTCCACATTATTCTGAGTTCTGGGGAAATGTTGTAGAGCCAAAAAAGGAAAAAGGAGGAAATGAACACGTGTTGAGTTATTATACTCATGACAGATGTCTCGTTTGGCTGTACAGCTCTCTAAGACAGAAATTACTATTCCTATTTTATAGATGAAGAAAAAAGTATTCTAAAGGAAGAACAGGATGGTTCTTCAAGTAAGGGTTAGTTGCATCATTCATCTCTCATGAGTGTTATTTTTGTCACTTTGCATAGATAAATAATATAAATTAATACATGTATTAGTTTAGTTTAAATCTAGGATTACATTTAGAAGAATAATTATCAGACTTTTCTTTAGTTGTAGGGAAAAATCAATAAGGTAACTGTAGAATTATGGCAAGAAAAATATGAACAAAGAACATTTTATTCTACCACCTTCAGGAGGAAAATAGGAATGACTATATAAAAGTAAGTCCCTAATGTTACTTCATTTGTGTAAGGTTAAGAAAAAGATTTTTGAAGATTAAGATAGTCTCTGTGTGTGTTTTTAATGTGTGTATAATATTTAAAAGAAGTTGGCATGTTTAGGGAATCTGACAGATTAGTCTTGTGATTTCAAATTGAATTATATAATTTATCTTAGACTTGTAATTTGAAGCTGAAAGGTATGAGATAATTTGATTATGTTTGTAAACAGTATTGAACTCTTTAAGATAACTTGATTTGCTACGTTTAGAAGCTTGAATTATTAGGCTTATGAGAGTCATTTACATGCTTAAGGTTTTTTCTTGTTTGACTTGTAAATCTACCCTGTGAGGAATTTGAGTTGCTTGAAAATATCACGTATATTAAATGTATAAATACAGTTTAAATATGTAAGAGAACTTAGCTAGCTTTGTAAGTGGCAAGAGTAATGATCAAGCAAATTTAATATGTCAAGCCCATGGGCTAATTGAACATTAATCAAAGAACAAGTTATTGCTTTTATTTTTATACAGAAATTACAAGATTTCTAAATAGACCATCAAAGTTATACAAGTTAAACCTAAAAACTTAAAGAAAATCTGTTCGTAAATTTACAACTTTAATTAATTGAGAATTGATTTAAACATAAGCAACTGCAAATAGTATAGCTGAACCCAAGTTCATCTGCCTGACGCGTAGCAAAGCCAATCACGGAGACGTCCAGTATGCAGCACGAAGGCTTGAGAGGCAGCAAAAGGAACTGACGTAACAGGCTGGCTCAAATCTGTCACCTTCAAGTAAGAGTAGCATACGTTTTTATAATCTTAGGAGTTGGGATTACATACATATTGATGGCAGCAGCGGGTAAACTCATGAGTATTCATGAGGAAAGATGGAGCATGAGCATTGAGCAAA